GGACTTTGGGGGGTGTTTGGTTGCGGAATTTATCTGAGACTGCGACGGAATTGACGAAACTGTCCGTTTGGCTTCTGGCCGGCTGCTTTGTGGTTGTGCTGGTTTTCGACAAGAGAGAAGAAAAGAATTTTAGAGAGAGAGAGAGAAAGAGAGAGAGGAGTGAGTTTACGGAAACTCCTTGTCGTGCTTTGAACTTTGAGGAGTGTTAGAGTGGGGAGATCGGGAGCGGTGCTGGTGCAGGAGTGTTAACCTGGGGTTAAGTAATCAATTGTACCGTTTTGATTGGGTCAAATTAGGTGGGGCCTACCATCTGACCTTATAGTTTCCTTTTGCACGATAACGGGAATTTAATTTTTAAACAGCGTGACACAGAAATGTTTTATTTGACAAATAATAACCCTGTTCACACACATATATTTAGGATAAATGTGAGCCCACCGTCAAAAGGATGAAAAAATTTTAATTGTGACGGGAATACGTATGGTATACTATGTATTTTTATGTAAGTGGTGAAAAATTTTATTTTTTAAGTTATTAAGTCATTAACACATATTCCACTATTTGTATAGTGACAAGTGATCTACCACCTCATGTGTCGGTCATACCGAAAAATCTCCCAAGAGGATAAAATGTCGGTTTATTGGAATCCTAAATCTCTTTTTCCACTTATAGATTTTAGAAGCGTATTCAATTGAGACTTTAAAAACTTCTAAACGAATTATAAATTTGAGTTTAGTGGAGTTTCATACACTTCATGTAAATTTTTTTGGGTGAAATTATTAGAAATTTTAGAGGTTGAGGTCTGATTTTTTTAAATCATAAAAAACATCGTAAAATCCCTCTAAATGCATAAAAAAAATTCATCTTTTTCTTTTGAGGTAGAAAATCTTTCATCTTTTTAATACTTATAAATAAATATATATGAAATTTTATGAACTACCTTAAAATTCAGAATGAATACAATCTGATTTATATAGAGTTTTATAAACTTATTTAAGATTTTGAATGAATACCCGTAAACTGAATGAATTGTAAACTCTTTAAATTTTTAAACTCTTAACCGTGTACTTGATTTGGTACCATGACACTTCAAATTCAACCATCTCATCTCATAAAGTTAATCATCTGGACATGGATTCTCTCCGGATCTATGCATCCTAATCCTAGAGATCCATCAATTCGGACCATTAAAATTTGATCCAACGGTTACAAACAGGAACCTACTTTAAAAGTTATAACAACTTTAGCCATTAAATCAAATTTCAATGGCTCGGATTTGTGGATTCCTAGGATTAGGATGCATGGTTCCGAAGAGGATCCATGTCCTAATCATCCCATCTAATCCGGATTTGTTTTGATAAAGATTACAGAAGCACGAGTTACCACAGAGTAGCTTTATCGTAATTTCAGTATTTTTGTGCAAAAAAAAAAAAAAAAAACCTAAGTTTTAAGTTGACAAAAATAAATGAGAAGAAAACTCTTCTTTTTCGAGTTTTTATAATACTTGCATACTTACTAATCAGCACTTATTTTTTTATTTTGTCCAATAATATTTTAACACTTGTCTTTATTATTTTAAAAAATAACAAAAATGTTATCTAATTTTTATATACCTTAAAAAACAAGAAACACTTTCAGTACCTCACTTACAATACCGTTACCGGAGTAGAGTTTAACTACCAAGTTCGGATGGGTTGGTGCGGTTCCTCCACGCTTAGACAGAGTTTGGTTTCTTGGGAATGATAGTGAAAAAGTTAACAGAGAAGTCATCCTTACTGCCATTCTACATAACAGTACATGAAAATTTTACTTTATACGACTGCTTGTTCAACTCTTTTGAAATCAATGGGTTTTTTTTTCTCGTTTTTATTACACCAAATCAGCAAGTGAGCACATAACTAATAAGTACTCAAATATTATATTTTTTCGTTGGTGGTTTGCACTTTGCAATATGTCACGAATGTGACTTTTTGTGATTGTCAACTACAAACCCCCATTGGTTGACCAATAAACTACTAGAACCCCCAAATATCCTTTTATTTTATTTTATAATTTATTTTGTGGACTATTAAAAAAATGAAACAAATAAATAAAAAAAATAAACTAACTCACCTAACACGTCAGATTTCTAATTTCTCAAATCTTGAATCCAAATCCATGCTTGCTTTGCAAATCATTCAATTTCCATCAACATTTTTAGAGAATATTAAGAATCTTAGTTGGGTTAGGTGTGATGAGTTGAGCACATGCACACAAAACTTAAACTTTGATTTCTCAAAATAATAATTTGTTATATTATTTTACAGACAACTTCGAATTAGCGTATTTAACCATAACATATTATAATTATGATTATTTATTTTATTAATAATATAAGAGATGAAGTTCACATACCATGTGGGTGTAAATATAAAAAAATTTAAAAAGAAAAAAAAATATATATATATATGGAAGAGACAAATTTTGCGAGATATGCGAACGTAAGAGAGCGAGAATGGGAAAGATGTTTAAAATTTTTATTAAATTAAAAATAAAAATATGCTAGGATGACATGTGGATAACGGTAAAAAAAAAGGAAAAATTGATTTCTTTAAATTACATTACTGCCCATGATTTTATGTTGTGGTAGAAAACCAAATTGTCTTTTCACCCCTCTTCTGTTAATAGATTATTTAGCTATGAATTAAACTGCGAAAACGCGAAATTCAAATTCAAGCAGATAACTGAAAGAACACTCGCTCTAACCAATGTAAACAGGAACACGTCTATCAAATCAAATTTTACATACCCACAACGTAAAATCAAAGCAAACAAGAGACTATTTCCAAAAAATCTGCACCTAAAATTCTTGGCCTCAATTTTGGATGCAGGACCATGTGGCTTAATTGTCCTAATCTATCCATCAATTATGGGATATTTTATAATCCCATTAGTTGATTATTTTACAAAATGTTGTTACGGTTGTCTCTCCTAAATTAGGGTTTCCAGTTTCACACCCAAACGTGGAAAGCAAAAGCTTGGACCATGACTCATGACTCATGACTAAAAGTCCAAAACCATCAAACCTGCAGTTTCATACCTCACAAGTTAAAGGTTTTTTGGGATTAATTTTACCAATAAACATAATGATTCGTTGAATGTATGGGCACACGAGAAATGACAAGATTAAGAACGAGAATGTCTGAGGTAAAGTAGGAGTGGTCGTAATTGAAGATAAGATGAGAGAAAATCGATTAAGGTGGTTTGGACATGTAAACCAAAGACCTACAGATACTCCGGTTAGAAAATACAATTATAAGATTGAGATTCAGGACAACATGAGTAGATGAAGACCGAGGATGACTTGAAAGAGGCTTAGCGCAAAGGCGTTCTAGGAATTTATAAAACTAACTCACTTATTGAAATAAGACCCTTTTATTATTGTATTATCGTTTTAAGAAAGGACAAAAACAAATGATGTTTCTGCTACGTTTCAATCTTAAAAATATAGATCAAGTGTCACGTTAACGATTGAAAACCCATACGAATACAGCACTTGATGTTTACATGATTACGATTGTTCAACTATTATCAGTGTCATATTAACAAAATGACTACTTTTCTTTTCTTTTCTTTTTTTTTTTTCTTCTGAAGAATAGTGTGATTTATTGTATTATTAAACTATTATTTTATTACTATTTTGTGTGTTGATCAACCCACTTGGATTTTGGGTTTAAATTTTTTTTGATACAGTCGATATTTTCGTGAAAAATATCCAAAAAATCACACAAGATATGGAAAGGTGGAGTCTAAACTTCACACCATATGAGAAAAACTCTTAACTTTTAGCTAAAATTAACAGATATCGTTAATATTTTACACATACCAATTAAATATCGAAAAAACTCTTCTATTTCATCTAAACTAGTGTTTTGACATTTCCTAAGGTTGTATTTGAAGTTTTAACATTTCTATTGAAAGCAACCGATGTTGATGTCAATATCGATATATTCATTGATATTACTACAAATTTGCATATCGATACTGATATATTTTAAACGCTACTTGGATTGACACGAACACAAACACACATAAATTAGTAAACCCAAACACGTCCCCATTGGAACATTTACCCCACATCCGAGGTCCTAGCGGCTCTCCCCACCCCGCAGAAAGAGGAGAATGGTTTTCCTACATGGGCAAAGGGCTTAGTTTCCTCCTCAAATTAAGCTCCAAACGAAAGTGATTTGCATCAAAACAGAACTTTCTCATGAAAATGGCATGCCATTGAAAGTTCAAACAACTCCAAGACAAGTCAATTTTGAAAACCTTTTTACACGGCACAAATAGAAAGAACATCAAAACATTAGCCAACCAATTCTTTGAACTAATTTTTGTCACTTGTAAGACGTAACGAACACTTGGAAACAACTACGAAATGAAAAAGGGACACCCATCTATGGGTCATATCAACATTATTTGTGACATACAGCGATAAATATCTTATAACCAATAAGGGGAAAAAAATCACCGACATCCGAGTGATCCATTATTTGTACATTACTCAACAAGTGATGGGATGGTCACATGATGAGCGTTGTAACTCGTAGGAACATCTGTTCCAACACCCGAGACATGTCAGCCTCTCCCAATAAAGGTTTCAATTATACAATGGCACCGATTTTTTTTTTTTTTTTTTACTTTTTTTTTTTGGGTGAGGGGGTGTGGAACATCCTCAACATGGGTCATATCAACATTATTTGTGACAACAGTGATGAATATCTTATAACCAATAAAAGGAAGAAAAACCACCAACATCCGAGTGATCTAACATTTTTACGACACTCAACAAGTGATGGGAACGTCACGTGATGAGTGTTGTAACTTGTAGGAACATCTGTTCCAACACCCGAGACATGTAAGTTTCTCTGCCAATAAAGGTTTCAATTGTACAATGGCACTGAATTTTGTTTGGGGAAAAATCATCCTCAGCACCTTCACACAACAATATTCATCCAAGCTGGAGAAAAGAAAATAATTGCAAGTCACCGTAGTCGTTTGGGATGCACCGGAGTTTCCTAACCGGCATGATACACAAGGAAAATTGGAACCATAAAGTTCCATATTATCTCAATTTGCATTACAATAATCAGAGTATGAAGCTAAGCTAGCAATATACAAATCACGGAGCTCTACGAGTTTCTTCTACCATTTTTTTTTTTTTTCTTCATCTTTATGGGTTATAACTCCGCCTGTGTAAGTTTATCTTACATTGCCGGTCCCAAGCCCGGATAAAGGAGGAGGGGGAGGGTGTCAGATAGTCGACAGCCGGCACTCCTAGGTTACGTCGAATCCTTATGAAATCTTTATGGGTTATAAGACAACAAATACGGCAGTCAGTAACTACTAACGAACTCCATAAGTCTACCTAGCTAGAAGGTTGCTTGTATGAGCCAAATCTGACATGCTTTTGTGGTTCACTACCAGCATTCTCGAAGCCTTTTAACAATATTTTCCTTGAAATCTAACATAGTGAAGAAACGGACACTGGACTTGGAGAGCAACTCTTTGGTTTTAAATGCTTTCAAAACTCTAACTGGTTACTAGTCCCTCTCTGAAGTTTGGGAGAGAAACTTAGGTGCAACGGGTTTATACCCTATCATGCCACACTCTCTCCCCACATAACATATCACATGAGGAGAGAGATACATACAAGGGAATATACACCTAAGGTTTTGCTGAAGTTTGGGGCATGGTGAAGTAAGTCACCGATGCTAGATTGGACTCCCAACACAAACAACACAAAAACTAAAAAAAGTTCACGTCTTATAATTAATCTGGCAAGGGTGTTGTCACGAAATCGATATCACCAAAGACAGTAGAACCAGCCATACCATCCAATCCTAGGCGTACGGATTATCTTCTATATATTCACATCATGATATAACTGGTCATTTGATGCCTCACCCTGAGAGTGAGAAGGAGATGAGAAGGCATGATCAGATTCCCAAAACCAAACAGAGAAATATTTGCATTCTCGACAACATATGACCGAATGAAAAAAAGCAAATCTCGGAAGCATGACACTTACCGTGTTAGAGAACTGGTCTCTTATGCAATACATGGAATTCAGCATTGATTCAAGAGTATCATTAGCTAATTCGAACTTCACTTCGGATTCTTTTGAGCGGGACTGCGAATCATTTAGTAGCTGCAGAAAGAGCAGTTATAACTTATAAATCAAAACCAATAAGCAGATTAAAATGACATCTTTATGGCATTTTCACATACGCTAATAACATCACACTTAGACGTAATGCTAGTTTTTCATTACCTTCAAGTTGATCACAGCCATGGGGACTGCAAATTCAGCGTCAGGATTCGCCATGTCCCATGTCATTGTCTTTAACCGTGGCAAAGCACCCTATTTACGCCATTGAGTTCACAATTACACACATAAAATGTCATTAGCCTAGTGTCCTCCTACCTGGTAAATCAATGTGTTTACATACAAATGTCCAACAACGCGAATCTCTAACCTGATCTTTGAGTGCATCTCGCCGCCATTCTCCCTGAAACTTCTGCAGCAAAAGCGTCAACAGCCTCTGCAACTCAGGCAACACCTCACTGGGAAACAGCTTCTGAATCTCTTCCCTCTTGACGTTATCGTAAACACATCGCCGAATCAACATTCGCAGGCACACCAAAAGCTGCCCAACAAAAAACAAAACAATATTTCACAAATTACCCAAATGAAATTCAGTAACAAATTCCCAATAAAAAGCACAAAATTCATAAAAATTCGAAATTGAAAGCAGAAAGAGTGAGAGTAGTGTACCGGGTCGATGTCCGATTCGTTCTGGAGCTGAAGCATATCTCGGATTATGTCTCGGTCGGCCGGGTCGAGACCTGTTTTTCGGGTCCTCCAAAGGGCCTGAAGAATGTACTCCACCGACTCCTTCGAATTGGACCGGACCAGTAGCGGCAAATGGCTCCACAGCGTGTGCTCCATGGCTCGTCGAGCTCGGAAATCAATGCCCTAGCTCCTCGACTCCAGAAATTGGCGGATTTTCGCGCCCGTGGAAGACGAGCATCAAAACGGCGTGACGTTTATCGTTCTAAGTTAGAAGCTTATACTAGTATTGCAAGTATGACCCTGCAGTTTTTGAGTTAATCACAGACACACCCCTAAATTTGAGAACATTTAGTAATTAGCTGCTTTATTATTTGTATTTAAAAAAGCCCCCTTTTGCTTTAGCCGTTGCCGTTTTAAAATTTCTGAAGAGCGCCGGTTCCTTAAATTCAATTTACGACAACCATAACATGGTGCGATGGTGCGATCTCTCAACATGTATGCTGGTCTGAGATCGCTGGTCTCTTGTACGCGCAATCTCATACCAACACATCGAAAGATCGTGCTGCAGCGCCAAGAGTAAGCCCAGCATGACACCGAGCTCCACGCTCCGCTTAGCCTCCACCCTTCTTCGTTTCAAAGCGTCATTTTTTCGGTTAAAGATAGAGGAGAACCATAAAAAAGTAAGAAATGAGAAATTAAAATGCAATCAGGACGAAGCATGGTGAAATTTCTTAATCTAAATTGATCTTGATAATATTAATACCCCAATTGGAAATTACATTCCCCATGTAACATAATTTAACTGTCAATAAATAGTTGAGTAAATAAGATAATATGCTACATTATTGCCCCCATGAAAGCCGAAAAGAATTGGAAGAAAGGGTCCTAATTATCTAGGACGCAGCGGTCGTCGCTTCGCAACTGTCGTGCACACAAGCCAATACGTCTGTGTAGTCCCTTGACATGGTGAAGGAATCGTAGACCTTGCCGTCGCTGCTTTTCTTGTACTCGAACAGGAGAGATGTGTGATTGAATGCCGTCATTTTGACAAAGCCGTAGTCATAATCTCTGAAAATACTCCAGTTAGGAGTCACTTGGCTGAAGTCAGACAAGTGGCTCCCTGCGCCACCAACGACAACATGGATTGTTCCTTTCACAGCGCCGGAATAATGGGATTTTTCTGAAGTTACGCACTGGCTCTGCAGCACCGCACCCGAGGGTGAGAAAAACGAAGAGATTAAAAAGAAATGAAATGGAAGTCATAGACAACTATTTGATGAAAGTAAAAGTGAGAGATTTTCACGCTGAAGAAATTGATACCTGGTAGACGGGGCATGATCTTTCATAGTTATGGACATGGCCGTAAAAGGCAATGTCAACCTTGTACTTCTGCCAAAGTCTCTGCAAGCTTTCCCTTCCCATAGGCTCTTCAAACGAGCCCTCCTGCCCATACCAATAGTCAGAGGAATAGCCAAGCACCCGATGAGCGGCAAAGATCAACCAAGGCTGTTTCTGTCTATCGACAGTTGCAAGGCAATTCTCGATGAACTTGTACTGCTCTGATCCTTCTCTCCAGTCGTGTTCAGTGTCAGCTATACAGAAGCGAAACATGCCATAGTCGGTTTTGTACCTGTTCATCCATAGAAATCTCATTAGAATGTGGGCAGGACACATGACACTGATGCACACATCCTATACTTCTAAATCAGTATAAATACTTCAAATTACAAGAAATTGCACTCATGTAATTTACCAAAACTTTGCTCGGTTCTCAGCTGGAACATAAAACATGGTCTCAGCCAGCACACCACATTCTCCACCAGAATCCACTTTGTCGTAAAAGGACCCTGAATCAGGCCAATCACGTTCATGATTACCACTGCAGGAATCAAATTCAAGATTCATCAACCGAGATCATAAATCAGTTTTATAAATCTCATTTGAAACTGATGAAAACATGTAATGAATAATTCCACTAACCTGCCAACCATATATGGCACAGTTGATGCAATGGGCTCCACCTGTGCTGTGAACTGGTCCCATTGTGAGATGTACCCGTTGGCATACGATAAATCTCCAATATGAAAAACGATATCAATGTTTTTCAAATCTTTTATAATTTGATCGGTAGTGTTCAGGGCACCAGGCTGGTAATTACTGTATTCATTTGAACCATCGCGCTCCCCCTGAAAGATGATAGAGGAAACATGTAACACACACCGAAAAGTCAATGTAATCACACTCCTTTTGTATCCTACAAGCACACAACATTGAACAGTAAAAAGGCTGGGGATTAAACCTAAAAAGTTAAACCCCGAGCAGGAATGTACAAGCAACCACAAAATGGAAGTTCTATGTAACTGGTAAATGGTGTGGCTCAAAATCTCTCTCCTTAGATCTTCCACTAAAATGTAAATGACATCAAGTGTTTCTATCATTTTTGGGTGCCTAACAGTTAGTTTTATTTGCAAATAATAATTACAAATGAAAGTACCTTCCCCATGTCACCAAACATTATGACACGCTGTAAGGAGTCCTGTCCAGGATATGGAGATGATCTGAATGTGTACTTCTTGCTCCAAATGATTGTACCATTGGATAAACGATGGCCCATCCTGTAGAATTGCCTGAAAAACAATCACCACAACAGTAAGTAGATATCATCGATACTTAACAGCACTCTTAGAGGAAAAGACAACAAACAGGGAAAAAAATCCGTATATGCATACTCGATATTTGGCCACAAATCCTTCAGGAAACTTGTATGTATGAAACCAGGATCACGCCATCCGACTGTCTTTGCAGGTGCACCTAAAGATGAAGGCAATAACACACTCAGTATGCAACATGGCCTAACCACACCTTAATGTACCACCACAGTTTTAATCATTTTATGATTAAAATAGATGTCTCAGTAAATCATGTAAATGTGAGATGGTCGTGAATACATAAAATGAATTATACCACACATCATGCTCCGATCAAATGTCAATGTCCCAGCTCCAGATCGCATTCGGGTTTGCCCTTCTATACCCCACTCAACAAATGGAACAGCTTCATTTATGTCGTAGCCACTTGTCCAAGTTACTGTCATCTGAAAATATAAAAAATAAATTTGAAAAAAAACATCAATACCTTAATATGAGTTTGCAGCCAGCCAAAAGGCACACAAACGATAACATAACGTTTCAAATTCTCGGATGCTTATAAAAGAATTAGCATCAAATAACTAAAGGTCTGGATTAAAATAAAGTTTAACATAAACACATGGGGGACCGTAAATTAGGATGAACTCACTTCGTTCCAAGATTTCCCTTGAGCAAGGCGTGGATAGACAGGTGCTTTGGGATTGGAAAAAGTTATGAAGTTTGAAACTGCCACCAGTTTTGGCTGCAACATTCAAGTATTGGATCAGTCACATAAATAAAGACAAAGATTCTATAAAAAAACAAAAATAGAATATGAGGAGCCAAGGGAACACAAGAAAGAATCATGCTCATACATTCAATAACCCGCCTGTAAATAATGCGAACGAGAAATCTGCCCGCTGATTGATAAGCTGAAACTTCAAAGTAGCTTTGCCAGTCTTTGTATAATTTGCATTGGAGTCTGTTGCATACTTGTACTGAAACATAGGCATCCGTATACGACAATGGTTAGATAAGTTCAATCGAAATTGTTTCGTCCGCTATTTACTATTACAGAGTTGCAAACTACAAGCACAAACCTTTATAGGGGCAGTGCATATATAGGGAGTTTGTTCTTCTGGTGCATTCACTGGCGGGCACATCGATGCACTGTCATATCAAAACATTATTACTTCAATCTCCAATCATAAAAAATAAAAAAAAGATTTTGTAAACACTTTTGCACAGAAGGTTGGATTAAGTTGAATCGATAGCTAGATAATTCGTGGTAATATAGGTTATGTAATTGTTCTTAGACACATTACTTGAATCTTGCAGGAGAAAAGACTCCAACCCAATCATCTCCAGTCGGAGTATGGTTCTCAAGCTTCACAGTTACCCATTCGGTATCCTCACCCTGCAGTCATATGAATCAAACTACATATTATCAACACTTCAACTCCATGAAGATCATATGAACTCAAAACTTGAATGTCATGCAAAAACTCATGTCCTTGAAAAGTCACCACACACTCGCCAACAGTGACACGCAATATACATCCAAAAGGCAAGGGGGCGGGAACACGGCCCAAGCCCACACAGCCCCCAACGGTTATTATACATATTAAAGGTAAGAAATTGGAGACTGCAGCAATCAAATTCAAAAGTAAATGATGAATGATGATCGAGCCAATTTCAACAATCTACTTTTACTCCACACTTTTTTCACAATGCCAATCTGTTTTCCTTTATTTCACATTGACTCCTATAAAGTCATTGCAGCAACAGCAGTTAATAACTTAACAGATGATCGTTGTCAGCCATTGAATCAAAACAGTAAAAATAAATTGTTACCTGCAAGCCGAGCACCAAAGGAGAGGCATTGATGGAGGCAGTGCATGAGAGGTTGAGGGTGGCTTTCTCAATGGCAATCTTGGAAAGCGGCTGTTCCCCAAAACGACCGCCGCCAGCGGCAGCTCCGCCCAAGTTGGTCAAACCCAGAATCACCAGAAATGCAAAAAGTTGAAAACTTTGCTCCATTTTTGAGTTGGGTTTTTGAAAACGAAAACAAGATTCGATATAACCCAAAGTTTCACTCTTTTCTTCTTCTTTTTCCCGGTAAATTCTTGGAGTTATGTTTTTGCAATTGGGAGACAAAATTGGATTGCAATTTGAATTGGGGGAGGATTTGAGAGGGAGGGAAACCTAGTGAGAGAAACAGCTTGGATTTTCAGAAACCACAAGTGAGACTCTCTCGGCCTCTCCCGGAGAAGAGCAGGGGAAGGGAAAGAGACGTCTGATGAGTCTGTATTTTGATATTTTCTCTGATTTATTTTTAGTTTTAAATTTTAATTTTGTACAAATTTGAGGTTAACTGATTTGACACGTGTCAATAAGTAAGAATATAAACACAAAGAGGAAATTAGATTTAAATAACTCCAAATCTAATATATCTTTTAGATCAAACATATGAGTCTTTCATGAATGACTAATATTATGATGATTTTCTGTTACTTCTTAATTTAATATTAATTTTTGTGTTAATATTATAAAATATTGCACAAAAAAATTGAGGAAGCATAGACTAGATAGAGTCTCATTAGCATTGATCTTCATGAATTTGATCAAGATGCTTTAGTACGTTAGCCCACTCTATTTATCAAATTAAAAATAGTTATTATACTTTTGAAATTCATATACATTGGTTTCTTAATTTGTATAAAAACGTTCCTAAACATGAAGTAGACATCAAATTGAGGACAACAAACCCTTGACCGTATAACTTTTACTTTCATGATCAAGAGTGCCCTACTCACTAGGACAATCCGCCACTGGCAGTATGTGAAAACTTTTTTTATTTTTAACTAGTATGCGAAACTTCTTAAACATGAAGACGATAGGAATGATTCATTGATAGAAAATAACCAGAAGTCTCACTGGCTTGCTTCTTGCATTCAAAACTGATTTTCACTAATTAAATGGATAATCTCTTTTCCAAGCTAATAAGTCGGCTTGATTAGATGTAACTTTGATTACGTAGCCAAAGTGGTTGGTTCACAGCCATCATGAACACAGGCCAAAACATCTCTGTAATCTCTTGAGATTGTGAAGGAATCATAGACCTTGCCATCACTGCTCTTCATGTACTCAAACAGAAGTGATGAGTGGTTGAATGCTGTGAGTTTCGTGTACCCAAAGTCCAGATCTTGGTGAACACTCCAAACTGTCTTCAGTGTGCTGAAATCCGATAAGTGGCTGCCTCCTCCTCCAACAACTACATGGATTGTTCCGTTCACCGTCCCCGAATAGTGAGAGATTTCCGAATTCACACATTGATTCTACAAAAACAATCCGGCGTCAAACGATGAATAATCAGTATTGTTTTTGCAGGACTTAATAACTATTGGCTAGTGAGTGTTTGGAGGGACGAGAGCTTTCTCTCAGGGATAGGTTCTCTCTACTGCTTTAGAAGTCTGATGACTTGTTTCTGATGTGTAATTCTGGCCGTCTAATCCTAGCAGGACATATCAGGGTTAGCTTCCTTCTGACCGCTTCGAGCAAGGGGAGGGTAGGCTACTCTCGTAGTCCGATGACTTAGCCCTGATGTGTAGTTCTGGTTGCCTAATCCTCTATTGTACTCGCTATTGTCCGTTAAGAAGAAATGTAGTTTGCAGGACATACCTGATAAATGGGGCATATTCTTTCATAGTTATGGACATGGCCATAAAATGCAATGTCCACCTTGTACTTTTGCCAGAGCTTTTGCATGTCATCTCTTCCCATAGGCTCTGAAAATTGACCCTCCTGGCCATACCAGGAGTTGGTGGAATAACCGAGAACACGATGAGCAGCAAATATCAGCCAAGGCTGTTTGTTCCTGTCAGCAGCTGCAAGGCACTTCTCAATGAATCTGTACTGCTCAGAACCATCCCTCCAATCATGCTCAGTGTCTGCTATGCAGAAGTGGAACATCCCATAGTCTGTTTGATACCTGTAAAGATTCAGGTACAAACAAAAGAACATTTCTTACTTCTCGAAAATCTTTCTTGTGTAACAAGTCAAAATAATGAGGCACATAATCATTTGATCTTATTTACCAGAACTTAGCTCTGTTCTCAGCAGGAACAAAAAACATGGTCTCAGCCGGCACACCACATTCACCACCTGAATCATTTGTGTCATAGAAGCCTCCGGTGTTTGGTGTATCTCGTTCGTGATTGCCGCTGTTGGAGCAAATCATCGTGTAAGTTTCAGAAATGTGAACTTCTACATCAAACACATCAGCAAGGATACAACAAGCAATGCAAACCTTGCAACCATATAAGGCACAGCTGATGCAATGGGCTCCACCTGTGATGTAAACTGGTCCCACTGTGAGATGTATCCATTGGCATAGGGCATATCCCCAATGTGAAAGACTATGTCAATGTTATCCAGGTCCTTGATCAGTGCATCAGTGGTAAGGAGTGCCCCGGGCTGGTAATCAGCGTATTCATTTGAACCATCACGCTCAGCCTGAAATTCGCGCGAGGGCATATGAAACTTTCCTTCAACGAATAAAGATAAATATCTAGGCAGATACATTTGCAGAAATTTTCATTTTCCATTCAACATCTCCGCCAAGCTTTGATTTGCTAGTTTTTGTTTTCTTGAAATTACCTTTCCCATGTCACCGAATATGATAACCTTCTGTAACGAGTCCTGTCCTGGATACGGGGATGACGTAAAATTGTAGGTCTTGCTCCAGATGTAGGAACCAGTGTTTAACCTATGACCAAGCTTGTAAGTGTACCTGTAGAAACAGGCAATCAATATTCGAGCACTACGTACAAAATAAAAATTTCTTATGAATGTGATGATTTTCAAGCTGCATACTTTGAATTAGGCCACAAATTTTTCAAAAAACTTGTATGGAAGAAACCAGGATCGCGCCAACCAACTGTTCGTGCTGGTTCATCTGCAGATTATTACAACAAGAATTTCATTCCACAACAATTTATTTTTCCTTTTCAGTGTCTCTCTCTTTCCACAAATCCTTATATAGAAACTTAGCCTTGTTCTCAGGTCGGCCCTGATGGTAGCCCAAGTAGGCACCCGCCTAGGGCCCCCACCTCGAAGGGGTCCCAAAATTTTTTATATCATGTAAATAACATATAAATACATAAAAAGTTAAAAAATATCATAATTCATTTGTTGGCATAGTAGAAATGCTCGGTTTTATTTTCTTTGGGGTATTGAGTTCAAAACACGGAGATGTCTTTTTTAGTCATTAATTTTTTCTTGTTTTTCAAATTTACTGCCAATTCATCTGGCCAAATGCATATAAAGTTAAAAAACTCAAGTCCCTTTGCAATCTTTTTTTTCTTTCAACTTCCTAATCTCTCCATTTCTATCGAATTTTTAAACCAATTATCACATGGTCTTGAAGATCGTACTTTAAGATAATCAAAACTTTGAATTTATATTTTGCTTTTCAATAATTTTTTATTCAATGGATTGTTTTAGTATTCGATTGCTAGTGTGATGTTGATTTGATGAAAAAAGCACAAGAGAAACAATTGGTGTTGTTGAATTCATTATACTCATCAATCAAGTTTTATTGTTCTTTACTCCCTTGATCATCAAGTTTTATCGTTTTTCACTCTCAAGCTTAGACTTTTGACTACAAACATTTAGTACATCTGTGTCTAAAAACATGAGCCGTGTAATGTTTAAGTAATGTTTGTGTATTTATCTTTTTTTATATTAATTTTTAATGATATTGGATGTGGAAATAGAATTTTTATGTATTTAGCGAATTCTTTTTTATATATATCAATGCACAAAGAATCGGAAATCAGAGAATTTTAAGGTCCCATTTCGAAAACTCGCTTAAGGCCCCCAAATTCTCAGGACTGGCCTACTTGTTCTTGAAATTAGATTTGATCATATGATTCGTACCACACATGCTTCCTCGAGGGAAAGTCAATGTTCCTGCTGGGGATCGAGTTTGAGCTTCTCCCGCGAAACCCCACTCAACAAATGGTACAGCTTCACTGATGTCGTAGCCGCTTGTCCAGGTTACTGTCGTCTGCAAAAGAATAAAACAAACATTCTTAGGAACTCAGTTTCACAGGCACATATAATACATAGCTTAAAAAAATGGAGCACTTTATCAGCATGACCGGAACATAAACGTACTTCATCCCAGTGCTTCCCAAGAGCAAGACGAGGGTAAAGAGGCGCCTTTGGATTTGCGAAAACTACAGCATTAGAAATTGACACTAATTTCGGCTGCATTGCACGAAAAATATCATATACTCAGAATCAATTAACAACAGTTGAAGTGCAAAAGAGAAGTGTGCAACGGATGGACTCACGCTCGACAGCCCGCCGGAGAACAATGCAAATGCGAAATCCGCGCGTTGATTGATCAACCGGAAATACAAAGTGTTTTTGCCTGTCTTGTTGTAATTGGCATTGGAGTGGTTCGCATATTTGTACTGCAAGAAAGGAGAAGTAACAAGATTTGAGTTCAGTGAGACAAATAGCTCGAGCATTTTGAAGTGCAACAACGCCAAGTAACAACATATTTACCTTGATAGGAGCTGTGCATAGATATGGCTCATAGTAATCTTCTGTAAATGGACAAGTTGATGCACTGCAATTATATATTTGACTTGTTTAATTAATTAATTAACTAATTAACCTACAAGCTTTATTTAAACATATGCAGTGGAAGTAAAGAAGATTATGCAGTAAAATATCAAAGAACAATGAAGTGCATGCGGTCTGATGTTGGGTTTCTACCTATATATTTCGGGTTCAAAACTCTCATTTCCCTTGAATTATTATAATAATTTCAAACTCTCCCCCTCTTCCTAAAAATTTAAAAAAATAATAAGAAAAATGAAGAAATATGTGCACGTAGTTTGTGTCCTTGAATCAAAGAAAAATTGAATAATTTGCTGCATGTATGAATCAAACAAGAAAGAAGAGGGAAGCTCATTTGTGTCCTTGAATTAAAGAGCCAAAATATTAGAAAGTGGAAGATCATTAAGAAGAGCAAAAACCCAAGTATATTGAACTGAAATGACATTTTTAATCTCAACCCTATAAAAAATCTAAGGGCTAAAATGAACTTGAATAATAATGAGAGTTACTAAACTCATCCTAGAACCCTATTTCCCCACCCCACCTTATATTACCATCCCTCAAAAAAGTTAAAAAAAAATAAAACACTCTTTCTCCATCCACCTATATTCCTAAAATGTCCTTTACATATTCTACTATTTTGCAGAAATTGAAAGAAATAAACTAAAAAAAGCACTCAACCCAACTACCACCCAACCTCTTACAACACAATGCAACTCGACGGCAACCTCTCGATCTTCATTTTTTTCAAACAAGTCCTAAGCCTCATTCTCAAAGAAAGTGTAGAAATCATCGCATTCCAAGTACATATTTTTTTAACTACCATTTGCTGGAACACATATCCAGCGCTATCCAAACAACCAGTCTTCTATAAAGATCCACCAATGCAGTCCCCAAAAACTTATTCAATTCAATCTCAGTCCAAATAACATGCCTATGGATTTGCTTTCTCCAATAAATAGATCACAACCTATCCAAATTAGCTTGGGAAGAAAGCACACTAACATAAGTAGCTTCATTTGACTTTCACAAAACAACCCAGATGGGAAAAACATTTAGAAGGAAAAAAGAAAAAAGGAGGATAAAATTGTGAGGGAAAGGGGATGAAAATGAGCTGAGAAAGCAATGTAAGAACAATAAAAATCAAAAGTAATGTTATTCATACCATATTTTTATACCATATTTTCATAGCCACCTTAGGTGGTATTTGATGTGGACAGTCACATCATTTGAATTAATCAGATTTTTATTTTAATTCATTATTTAATAAGCTCATAATTAAGAAAAAACTATTTAATTAAATAATGATTATGGTATACGAGAAGTCTTTCTCCTTCATTTTCTTGAGTTTTGCAAATTGTTCAAATGATGTGGCTGTCTACATCAAATGTCACCTAAAATGATATAGAAATGCGGTACAAAAATATGGTACGAATATCATTCCTCAAAAATCAAAGATTGCACTTTGAACAACTTCTTTGTCCTTATTCGCCATTTTGTTAAGAGGTAAATTTGAAAATAAACTTTTTATTAAAATACGGGTGGAAAATAAGACAAAGGCATGAAGATATCAGCATTCTTAATAATTAGAGAGTGGAAAAATTGCACATTACTTGAATTTTGCTGGAGAAAAGACTCCCAACCAGTCATTAGCAGAAGGATTAGGACCAACAACATTCACAGTTACCCATTCATAATCCTTCCCCTGAAAACAGAAAATGAACCAAAAACATCATTATATTAATTTTCCGAACATAACTATGTTTGGACCGCATATTTATCAATTTGACGAACAAATATGATACAAAATTGTAGTTGATGACGTTACCGTGGTGCCGAGAAGTAGAGGGGACGCATGAACGGAAGCCTTTTCGTGAATCGCGTTCACGGTTTTGTGGATTAAAATCTTGGAAAGTGGTTGCACTCCATCACCTCCCTCCTTGTTCCTGTAATGTTTATGACCTTCTGAGAAATTCACTAAGAAAATCAATAAGAACGTGGCTTTCAGAGACAAGAAGCTGAAGAAGCTCTCCATCTCTGTTAAAAGTGGTCAAACCCAAATTTGCCTAACACTGATACGTCCCAAGCCATATTTATGTACAACTTCAGACCAGGTTTAAGCACTAATTAATTTTTTTAGTCTTTTTTTTTTTTTTTTTTTTTTTTGAGAACTATTTTTTTTTTAGACTTTGATGCAGTGATTATTGGCTTGATCTTGTAGATAATATTTATTTATTATTATTGTCCTTTTCGTCGGCCGGTTTCATTGGATGCCATAAAGGAAGATACCAGAAGAAGAAAGGACAAAGAAAACATTTGACTGAGATGTCGAAATGTTGCATGTCTATTCCTCCAAGTGGATTTGGAGTACCGTTTGGTACGTGGGACGAGACGAAACTAGAGTGGGGCAAGACGTTCCGTCTCACGTTTGGTGCATCTAAAACGGGTGAAACGAGCTGTTCCACGGAACAAGTTTTGGGTGAATTTTCGTTCCACCTCACCTCCCTGGAACGACTCGTTCCACATCCGTAGAACACAAAATTATAACCTCTCCGTCTGCTTCTTCTTCCTCCTTGTTTCCATCCGAGGGCATCTTTACTCCCACTCCGTTCCGTTCCGTCCTATCCGTCTCGTCCGTCTCATTCCGTTCCGTCCCGTCCCGTTTGCATACCAAACGATACCTGGAGGAACGGACATGCAACATTATACAATCATAACCGTTATCTTATATCGTACAGTTATAAATTATTTAAAATTTATTTATTTATTTAAAATTAAACACAAATAGTATCTAATGAAAACTGACCGCACGATGTACTATGAACAGTTATGATATGAAAATCCCTAGGATTTCCACAAAGAAAATCCGAAGAGGATCCTCATCCCCTGTAAGTCTGCAATACTACAATACTACCACGTGAGAATTTAGGGCACATATGATATGTTTTTTTGTTGAAATGAAATGGCAAGAAAAGTCTCTAAAAAGTATAATTGCCTACAACCTTATGTTACTTTATGTTTTGACATAATATTTTATAATATCAGTATGAAAACTAACGTTAAATTGTAAGATGGTAGAGAAGAGTTTCACTTTGCCTTCTTAACATTTCTCTTTTTTGAAAAATAAAAAGTCATGAGAGTCCTTGGCTGCAGAATTAGATCATGGTCAAACTTTCCTACCTACTCAATCTAATTTTTAGTTTTTCAAGTATTAGTTTACGTGTTTACATATATGAGATTGAGAGGCTGAGAGCTACATAAATTTCTTTTTTTTTTTTTTTTTGGTATGAAGTAAATGCAAGGATAGCAAAGAATCGTGATGCTACCAATATCTTATGTTAGCAAACATAAGTTGGGAAGCGAAACAGGTTAAGAGAAGTGATTTTCAAAAAAACAAATTTGTAGCTTTTATGCTTTTATTATTTATAATTATCATGTTAAATAAATCAAATGAAAATTAACGATAATAATTAAATAAAAACGTGTAAAAGCAGCTTAAAAAAATGTGTAAAAATCATTTCTCATCCCTTGATATCCATTCCAACACATTTCAAGTCAATAGACATGACAATAGTTCTTTAATACTGACACGTTTTTATAAGTGATACGACTAATCTACACTAGATATGAAAAAAGGGGTGTCCTATTCAAACACTTTTTCATTTTTTAAATTTCTTACACACTTTTTATTGATTGTGTTATTTGATTTTTCTTTAATTTATCTGATCTAGCAATTAAAAATTAAAAGAATATGTGAGAAATAAAAAGACGTGAATGGATATTACACCCTAAAAGAAAAGAAAACAGTTTGAACTCAAAAAGTAAGAATTGGAAAAGAAATCCCTACTCACTAAAGCAAATCCACCACTTACAATAATTATAAAGAAAAACTAATGAAAATAGTTTGAAAATTTTGAGTTTTAATAATAAGGATAAAATATAGAGTAAAGTGAATAGTACCATTATTGACTTTTTAGTGTAAAAATATGGTTTTCATTAAAGTGAATAGTACCGAAAGTTTTCGTTAAGTTCCCATTATAATCAAAGGGATCCCTATTTTTTTGGTAAAAAGGGGACTAGTTGTGAAATCCACATTACGTCAAACTTTAACGATTCGAACCGTGTATTTTTCAAGTTACACTTTATAGATCATCCTTGTAAAATATTAGCTAAATCGAAAATGTTTGAGGCATCTAATTTAATTCAAAGAAATTGACGAACGTTATGTTCTAATAAACATTGAAATTTCATCATGGCAATCAAATGAGTAAATAGTTTTAGATTAAATTAATTTTTTTTGCAAAGATGATTTTTGAATGAAAACTTAAATAATAAACGGTCTAAATTATTGAAATTCGATGTATAAGGGCCCCACAATTAGTCCCCACTGTTACCAAAAAATGAACATCCCTTTGGATTAAGGCTGTGTAATTATAATAATACTCTATTTTTGTTTGCATTGATCACCTCTAAAATCCAAATCTCTTATGGTTGACAATGTTTTAAAATTGTGTTCGATTGTAGGGACAGTTCATAATTGAATGAAACATTATCCTACACCTATTTATGACTTAAAATATCGACACACCCTCCTGGGAGCAACTAGGACAAACAAAACCATAATTAGTGAACTCTTGTCCCATCTTTGATTAGCGATAACCTTTCTTTGTGTCCCATTTAGTACAAATGCATATATGCCTTTGCCTGTAGTTGCAAGTTACGCTTTACAGTAGTGATTGAAAGTAATAATGTTTAAGCATCTTGATACAAATTTAATCTTTATCAATTTTCTTTCTCCTTAGCATTTAACTATCTAATTCATTAGCGATATTATTTGATTAAAAAGAAATTATATGCCTTTACTTTTAATTTGCTTTGAAACTTTTTCTTACTTTTTATGGCTTCTTTTGCTACAATTATGTTTGATGCTGTTTTGGGTTTTGGCCATGAAGTTTATTTTCTGAGTTTTTATCATAAATATTTCTTGAAATTGACCAAACTTATCATCGTAGTCCTTCATTTTCAAAATCAATAAATTTCGTCTTTGAATTTGACTATCACACATCAATGTAGCCCCTACCGTCTAAATTCGTCAAATTTTTTGTTAAATCGCTGATGTGGCAAAAAAATCTTTTTTAAAGTTAAAAAAACAATTAAAAACCGAGTAAAATAATTTTGTTTTGTAATGAATTAAAATTTAAATTGAAAAGCAAAAACCAATCCAGCCCAATTCGCCATCTGCCACGCTCACCCGCCACCCCCCAAGCCTAGCCACACCCCGGTGGCGGTTATGCTGTTGAGCTACTTGTGAGGCTTGTAGTCAGTCTCTCTGTCTTTGCTTCGCAATCTGCACCTTTCTCTCTCTACCTCTATTGCAACAGACGTCAAGGTTTCAATTAATTACAAATGCTCTGTTTATCTTCAACTCTGGCTAAGATTTTTGCTCGCGCCCTTTTACCCTCTTCAGTGCCTTTGCCTCCTCATTACCCAATCTAACATTTGGGTTCTTTTGTTTTCCATTTTTTCTCTCCTGGCTTTCTTTCATTTTACCATTCTACCATTAAAGATTTAAGATTTATAAGTGATACGACTAATCTAAACTAGATATAAAGAAAGGGTTGTGCAATTCACACACTCGTTTTTACTTCTTACACACTTTTTGTTAATTGTGTCATTTGATTTTTTTCAATTCATCTGATCTGACAATAAAAAATTAAAAAGATATGTAAGAAGTAAAAAAAAATGTGTGGATATTACATCCCAAAAGAAAAGAAGATAGTTTGATCTCGAAAAGTAATAATTGGAAAAGAAATCCCAACTCACTTAAGCAAATCCCCACTTACAATAATTATAATTAGGCCCTTTATTCAAAGGTATTCCCATTTTTTGGTAAAAATAGAGACTAGTTGTGGAGCTCACCCCACATTAAACTTCAACGATCTGAACCGTCTATTTTTCAAGTTGCACTTTATGGATCATCTTTGCAAAATATTAGCCAGATCGAAAATGTTTGAGACACCTAATTTAGTTCAAAGAAATTAACGAACATTATGTTCCAATAAACATTGAAATTTCATAAGGGCAATCAAATGAATAAATGGTTTTGGATTGAATTGATTTTTTTACAAAAATGATATCTGAGTGAAGACTTCAATAATAGATGATCTAAATTATTGAAGTTCGATCTATAAGGGCCCCACAATTAGTCCCTACTTTTACCAAAAAATGAATATCCCTTTGGATTAAGGCTCTGTAATTATAATAATACTCTATTTTTGTTTGCATTGATCACCTTCAAATCCCTTTCATCAAATCCACTGAGTCCACTTATCTGGGCTCTTGAAATTTGATTCAACGACTACAAACAGAGAACCCCTTTAAAAGTTACAATAACTTTAGTCGTCGGATCAAATTTCAAGGGTCCGGATAGGTGAACTTGGTGGAAGGGATCCGGAGAGGATCCCTTTCCCACCTCCAAAATCCAAATCTCTTATGGTTGACAATGTTTTAAAATTGTGTTCGACTGTAGGGATAGTTCATAATTGAACGAAACATTATCCTACACCTATTTATATTAATTTTTTATAGAAAAAGAAAGACAAAATAGAGAATGTGAGAGGAGAGGATAGAAGAAGATTGAAAGAGGAAGGGAAAGAATCCTAATCCCCTTTACATCAACTAATGACAAACAAAACCATAATTAGTGAACTCTTTTCCTATCTTTGACTAGTTATAACCTTCCTTTGTGTCCCATGTAGTACTAATGCATATATGCCTTTGCTTGCAGTTGCAAGTGACACTTTATGGCAATGATGGAAAGTAATAATGTTTAAGCACTTTGGTACGAAGTTGATCTCTATCGATTTTTTTTCTCCTTAACATTTAACTACCTAATTCACTAACGATATTGTTTGATTGAAAAGAAATTATATGCCTTTACTTTTAATTTGCTTTGAAACTTTTTGTTACTTTTTATGGCTTCTTTTGCTACAATTATGCTTGATGCTGTTTTCGGTTTTGGTTATGATGTTTATTTTTCGAGTTTTTATCATAAATATTTATTGAAATTGACCAAACTCATTATTGTAGTCTCTCAATTTCGAAATCTATAAATTTCGTCCTTGAATTTGGCTA